CATCATATCTCACGTGGCATTCAGGGAGTAGAACGACTTGACATTGAGAATTTCTACACAAACAAGTATTCTCTCACACCAAGCAACACTTGTTTCTGGGTACATTATTGGATGAAAATCTTAGATGGGACGACAATATCTATTATATCTGTTCGAAACTGAATCGACAATATTTTGCTGTTCGGAACTTAATCAATTGCCTGAGTGAAGAGGGAATCAAGTCAGTGTACTATGCATTGGTATACTTCACGATCAACTGTAACATTATCACGTACGTTCTTGCCACAAGTAGCAAGAGAGTATTCATGGCACAAAAAAGAATTGTTCGCCTCATCTCCAAAATTAATCCTCGAGATTCTTGCAGAAATGTATTCAGAGACAATAAAATATTGACGTACACTGGAATTTATTTATATAAATTACTAATCTATATTTATAAAAATAGAAACAACCTCAAGATGAATCGTGATTATCATGACTACCATACACGACACAAAAACGAATTTAGACTCGAGCCTATGTCCTTTGCTAGCTGTAAAAAGTCTCCGAAATACGCTGTTACATATTTTTTCAATTGTCTACCTCCTGAACTGAAAAATCAAGCGAATTTGTTTCAGTTTAAACGCGAACTGAAACTGTTTCTCATTGCAAATGTTTTTTATAATACACAAGAATATGTTTTATACTGTCAACGTGCATCCTCATAATTATAATGTATATTTAAACATTTATTTCATTTTAATATTATATTTATTTTTTTAGTCATGTGTTCATATGTTCTTCAAGGATATACCAGAATTTTAATGTGTATAAATTTCAAAATTTCCTGAATTGTACCTATATATAATTAAAATTTCGCATTTTCTTGACTTCTCAATCCAGTTTGTAATTGGTATTTTATGATCAATAAACTATCTATCTATCTATCTATCTAGAAGTAGATAAAGAAGGTAAACTACAAATGGAAGTTGATACTGGAGCCGGTAAGTGTTATGTCTGATAATTTTTATAGAAAATGTTCTAGTCATATTCCTCCAGAACCAAGTAATTTAAAAATTAATACTGTGAGTGGTGGTAAATTAGCAGTAATAGGTCAGATCTCAGTAAATGTAGTGGCAGGTGGTATAAAAGTTGTACTACCATTAGTAATTGTTCAACATCCTTCAAAACAACTGATTTTGTCGCAGTTGATGCTTCATCTTATGGTTTGGGGATGATATTAAGTCGAATAGAGAATGGGGATGTCAAACCGATCATGTATGCTTCTTGTACGTTGTCACCAACTGAGAGACCTATCAACCTGGTTGAAATCAAATAAAAATTGGAACCGTATTCATGTAGATTTTTACAAATTGAACAATTTGATTTTTTATTAATCATGGATACCCTGACAGTGGTTATAAGTGTTCTTAATGAATGGGGCAAATGCAAATAAAACTATTAATGAATTGAGAAAAACCTTCAGCACATTTGGTATACCGAAAATAACAGTAGCTGACAATAGTCCTCCTTTCAATAGCGAAAAGTTCCATAAATTTTGAAAATCTAACTACTACAACTAATAAATACTCCACCACACCACTCTGAATCAAGTGGGAGTGCAGAAAAGTTTGTACAGACTATAAAAATAGGTTTGAAAAAATGTCTGATGACAATCGGTTTAACAGCAGTATATCTATGGAACATCAATGAGACATTTCTTTATTTAACTATAGGAATACTCCTATTTCCGTAACATTGAAAACACTAGCGGAGATGATGTCGCATCAAGTACCGCGAACTAAAACTAATATAATTAACCCCAAATGTTTGGAGGGAAAAGTAGAGTATGAGAGAGAAAACAATTGAAAGAAGCTTAGAACAAAGGTAGACGAGAAAATAAAATATAATTAATAAATCAGCAGGTATTGGTTTACTTAGCGCAAGGAAAAACAATGGATACCTGGGAAGGTTTTGAAAACATTAGGGTTGGTCCCACCTACATTGAATGTACTTCCTCCCCATGTCCAACCTTATCTTTAGAAGATCACAGAGATCTATTAAACCTCCAGACAGGTTGAATTTATGAAACCATTCTTGTAGTATCAAGTTTTGAAGTCAATTAATAAATCATTATAGTTCAAAATCGAATTTATTTGTTTATTGGGATTTATAATATGTGAGAATGAGTGTGCTATATTTTATATTCATCATTAAGCCGTAGTCTTAGTCACTGCCAGCAGTCCCTGACGAGAGACTGCACCTATTAGTTTAATGATCTAAGATATAAGTTGTGGACATGGTAAAAGTTGGTTAGGTATCGATTGTAATCCTTGAGAAATAAACGAGTTATTCAACCCAAAGTTTCATTAGTTCATCCGAGCTGAATACACAATACGTTTGTGCTCGTTCTACCAGCTGAAATTGATTTTTTATGACTTTCTGTTTTCATCATGCCATGAACAGAAGCAACTATGGCAAAAAATCAATTTCAGCAATTTCTGCAATACAAACGAACAGGCGTATAACCTATGATCTCTCGTTTTTGGATGTTTTGTTTTGTAGATTTTTATTTTCATCATTCTTATTATCTTCTTACTCAGGTTGATATTATGGATGGAGTGATTAATCATATCATTTTAGAAGACATATTATCCGATAGTGATTTTGATTTATCAGAAACACCAAGCTCTAGTCCCTCTAGTTCCAGTGATGAGGAAATGAAGTATAGTTGTGAAATATTTGATATCAAAAGTGGAAATAACAAACCATCTTGCACATTAGTGGCAGTTTCAGCGACTACTTTCACTGTGAGATCCTCCAGTTCAACTTCATACATTTTCAATTAAATTTTGTATCGACTCATGCCTAACCCTAACCATTCAAATGGTTATCTAACAGTGAACTTTTAGCCTCTAACAGGGTTCCTTACAATGACTCGCGAAAACATTACCAGTGAATTTCAGTAAAATTGTAACAGTAATATATACGGGGTAGTACTGGGGAATATAGAAACATTTTCCAGGACATCACCGCTCAGTAGAGATTGAATTCACTGGTATTGAAGATGCATTTAAAATTTCCGATTGATCGATTTTCTTGAAAACGAAAACGTTTTTGACTTCCCTTCATAACATTATAGCGAAAAAGACTCTTGATGATTGACTATGATACTTGAAAGGCCCAATCCAATACCTAAAGTTGAAAACCTCTGATTTGAGACCAGTCAACAAACTTTTAAAAAATCCTAGAAGTTTTTATGAACAATCAGTCTCAAATATTTTTTATTGTTCATTCGGGTTATCAAAGGAAGTATAGTTGTGGAACAGCTTTTCAATGTGTATTGGATGACTGGAAAGGAAAGTGTAGAGAAAAGCATTTGACAGTGGCGTGTTACACGACCTTTAGAGGACCTTTGAAACTGTGAATAGGGATAGGATCAATACGGTAATTGAGATGTGAGAGTGAACAAAATTGTATCGGATTGAATTGGAAACGATTATGTGGTCTCAACTGTTATCGATATAGAATGATGATATAGTTGAAGCATCTGGACATTGTAAAATTCATTCATTTGTCCTCCTCAGAACCAGACTTTCTGTTACAATCTATCAATGACTCAATAAATAGAACACAACAATAGTTGTGAAAATTTGGTGAGAATCGAAAGAAATAAATGAAAATGAAATGAAGACAAAAGGCCAGGAATAAAAATTGGTGGATGCCTCGTAAGTCAACAGAGGCTTAACATTCCACTTGAATCAAACATTCTGCATTGAAATTGGAATGAGAACCGTCTATCTGCCGGCCGTGGGTGGTCGCTTACAAACGCTACCAATTTCGATGAAAATCTACCTTAAACTACAACATTATCACCAGCTTTTGTATTGCTTGGTGCACACGCGAGGGACTCCCTATAAAGTTCGAAGAACCTCTTGCTTACTTAGGAAGGATAGGTCAAAGTAACAAGAATCATGTAGTCCATCAGCTTTTGCCGATGAAAGTCGTCGCAATTTTTGGAACAGACGGCGTTCAAAAAGTTAATAATATCGCCATTCAAATAGTTATTTGCTGGGAATCAATTCATAATATACATAATTGAAATATATGAACTAAACATCGGCAGACAGTCGCTTCAAGTAAAAAATATGCACAGTGATTTAGAATAAAAATGATTAAAGTTATTTTTTTCACAGCTATAACTCAAAATTGCTCTTGTTTTACTGTAAAAACTTCACAAACGATAAGATTTCCACAAAATTTATTAAACACACGACATGTTTCGCTAACACAGTAGCCTCGTCAGGTGATATACTGGTACAATGAGTGATATACTGGTACAATGACTCATTGTACCAGTATATCACCTGACGAAGCTACTGTGTCAGCGAAACATGTCGTGTGTTTAATAAATTTTGTGGAAATCTTATCGTTTGTGAATTTTTTACATTTATCATGGATTTCCATCAAGTAACGGCCGAGTCAATTCAAAACTTGTTTTACTGTTCTTGTGTTATTATTTAAAAAAAATTTCATCGCCCATGGAATGTCAAAATTCAAGAAATGATAGCTCCGTCTAATAGATGAGCATTACTTGAGAAAAAATCAGATGGCTACAAGACGAACAAATCAAAAATGCCGCTGATATCTGTTACAGTCTACGGCTCATGCTGCAAACTTCATTCTCGTCGGAAATCACTATAATTCCGTGCTCGTTAAACAATATACTATTGTATGCCTTTCTTTATATTGAAGTGAAGAATCTCTATCAATTCATGTCCTAGAATTCGTCAAGTTTGAGATACCTACAGGAAGTCGAAAGTACCAAGGCGTTCCAAATATTTTCAAGATATTCTCAGATAATTGAACAGTTCAGTTTCAACCTTCACCTGAGATTCAAACATAGTTAGCAAAATACATGTTTAGACGTTAAAAAATCGGTTTGGTTAGCGGTAAAACGGTGTAGTGTGATTATTATGCCAAAGATTTCAGTCTGCAATATAAAAAAATTTATTACTCACTTCCATAGGATTTACAGTGATCGTGAGTGCTGAATCATCCCATGTCATTTCTCCATCTTGCGCCTCTTCATTTGAACTCCTCTGGTGAGCCGATCTAATTCTGATAACTCCCAAAACGATCATGAATAGAAGAAAACCGATGCAAACTACAACAATTATGGTGACAGCATGTGAACCACCTGTAGCTGCAAGGCTCATATGTTCTGAGGATATGTAATCATGTGAAACAACAGATGCGGGACGAATCTCGACCGAGTGTTTGTTGATTGTAGCATGTGCAATAGTTTCTTTTGGTTGTGGGTGAATGACAGTAAGCTGAAACAAATGTTATTTTAATAATTATCGTTTCTGGACCAGAAAGTTTCACATATTTTAGATTGCACATAAATGAGAAATAAGCGGGGAGTAGATCACTGGGACAGTCCGGTGTACACGGTTTCCCACATAACATGGGCCACCCCCTATCTGGTGAACTAGAATCGATACAAAAAAATTTGAAATTTCTAGATAATGTCAACTATTCAGGATGATCCATATGCCTGTGACAAAAACATACGTTTTTTCAAATAGAATACCCTTCGTCCTTGGATACAGCTCAAAAAGACATGGATCTGAGAACACCTGTTGTGGACTTATTCACGATCTTTTCCAATGAATAGCCGAATATCGAAGTCCTATAGAAAACGTTGAGAATCAAGTTTTCCATGCGCAGTTTTCGTCATAAATTAATAAATTGAATATGGTATATACTGTCTGTTGGTTAATCGAGGAGGTGGTACATTCATTATTCCAGATTTTTCGGGATTTTCTCTCCTCGTTCCTATAAAATAAAAATATGAATATTATTTCAATATACGTGTAGTAAGTACAAATCAGATGATTCGCCCCAAAATGTTACTGCGTTCAAAGAATTTTCCTATCAGAGAGCCTAAAAGAAATATTCAATAGCTTGCCAGTGACAATTTGTATTGAAAAAGGTTTGGAGAAGAGTAATAGAGAAATATAGAAAAAATATCAAATGTTCACTTAGCTCTGGACGTTTTTGAAACGAATCTGCACCCGTTTTCAACATGAAAAATGTATATTTGTATAGCAAATTCGTATTCGTCTTGACACTTCTTAGTTCTCCGTGACAATTGGTGACGTTGGCAATGAAATGAGTTACAAGATGTTTTCATTAAATAATCTTGAATTTACCATTTTCATTTTCAGATTTCAGTAGTGAATACCATGTTCTATCTACACTCACAGGCAAAATAAACCGGCCGAAAAAAAATCTGCCCAAATTGTTCACCCAGTAACTTTTTTAATCCTCGTCCGATTTATGTGAAATTTCGATCAAATTGTAGATTCATGTTCCGGAATGATAGCCTAAATATCAGTTTTCCTCAAAAACTGATGACTTGATCATTATACAGGGAAAAACCAAAGTTACTCGTCCACCCTATACTTCCCAACGCCCTGTGGCAAAATTGCGTGATTGAACATGGCTTCATTATGCTTCGGATTGAAGTGTGATCCCTTCTTAACACAAAAGTTAAACACAAAATGGGAGCAGATTCGTTCCCGAAACGTCTGAAGCTAAGTGAAAATTTTATATTTTTTCTATGTACCTTTATTTCTCTTTTCCAAGCCTTCTTCAGTACAAATTGTCGCTGACAAGCTAGTGAATTTTTTTCAGACTCTCTGAAAGGAAACTTCTTCAAACGCAGTGATATTTTGGGGCAAATCATCTGATTTGTCCTTACTACACGTATATTGAAATAATATTCATATTCTCAAGTCATAGGAACGAGGAGAGAAAATCCGAAAAAATCTGGAATAATGTATATATCATCTAGATATTCTTCGCGAGCCGCCATAGCTGAGAAAGCAGCTGGAACATAAGTATAGCTTGTGTAGCCAGTCACGCCAGAAAGAAGACCGGATCGACTGATAAGAAGAGAGTATTCAGTGAGAGTGCTCAGGTATTGTCAAAAAACCTGACCATTCTAATCAATCAATCAGTTAATGAAGGTATATTCCCTGATCAACTGAAATTTTCCAAAGTCGTACCAGTACATAAAAGAGGTGACACCTCAGAAATGGAAAACTATCGAGGCATATGTGTCTTGAACTCCATATCAAAAATAATGGAAAAAGCAGTGTATGACAGAACGGTAAGCTTTTTGGACAACCATAAATTGATAGCATCTTCCCAACACGGTTTCAGGAGCAATTTTTCCATTGAAACTGCTTCAACCGATATGATCCAATATATCTATGAAAATACCAACAAAAATTATTATGCAATGGGGATCTTCTTCGATCTTAGCCGAGCATTCGAAACTATAAACCCACATTATTTAGGTGAGAAACTTTTTAAAATGGGCATCAGGGGAACATTAAACCAATGGTTCAAGTCATATGTGAGTAATAGAAAAGTGGTAGTCAAAGTAAATGACCACATATCAGATCCATTTGATGTGGACTTGGGAACACCGCAAGGGGGAGTACTTGGACCACTGCTGTTTTTATTATACGTAAACGATCTTCCAGAAAATATAACAGAGGGCCGAGTTTTTATGTACGCCGATGATACTACCATCATTGTAGCTTCCCCAAGTCCAAACGAAATGAATAATAAAATAAAAACTGTCATTGATGAATTCGAAGTATGGTGTAGATGTAACCATTTGATAAACAACTTGGATAAAACAACGTTCATTCAATTTTCAAACAAATACTACCGTCCACTTCCTATTGATCCGCGATTAGAATTATCAGACTGTACAAAATTCCTTGGAACACAACTGGATTGTAAATTATCTTTCAACAAACATATTGAATACCTATGCACAACACTGAAAAAAACTTATTACGCTTTCCTAACATTGAAGTCGAATTTCACGAATCATAATCTACTGGACATTTACTATGCATTGGTATATTCCAAAATAAGTATAAATATTTCCATTTGGGGACTAGCATCAGATGTAAATCGGATCTTCATTATGCAAAAACGTTTTTTGCGTCTGATTTTTGATGTCAAATATAGAGAATCTTGCAAAGAAACATTTAAAAATAACCGTATTCTTACACTACCATGCATTTACCTTTATAAAACGCTAAGTTATGTTCATTCAAATTCCGTATCATTCATGCAGAATAAAGAAATCCATCATCATTTTACAAGGAACAGAAATGATTTCCATTTGACGAAATGTAACTATTGTGGGTATAAAAAATCCCCAAATTACTCAGGAACAAAATATTTCAATTTACTTCCCCAAACCATCAAAGAAGAAAAAAACCATGTGAAATTTAAAAAGCTCCTCAAAGAATATCTTCTAACAAGTTGCTTTTACTCCCTCAAAGAGTATGAGAACCTCTCTTAATATGATGTATTTGCTGTACTATTCATGAGTACTTTGTTTGTATATTTGTTTTTTGTTTTTGTTTTCGACGTGTCACATATACAATTTGTATCAAAAATGACGAAATAAAACTTGAACTTGAACTTGAACTTGAAGAAGATAACGAGTCAGTGGGAAGAGGAGTGATTCATTCATTTCTCTCTCGTTCGGCTAGAAGTGTTTTCAGGTGCACGATTTATGATGTTAATTCCCGATCTTATATTGTAGCCTCAAGCTCTGAGTGGGATTTACCCTGAGAGGATACTATTGCTTTAATTCGGATCTAAGAGTGACCATGCACCTGTTCTCGAATCGAAAGACTCCTTCTCATTTGTAGAGTATAGCATTCCAGCATGGTTAGTTTAGCGTGCACCGTGAGCCTTAGCGAGTTAGCTAGATTTATACAGGGCTATAAAAATTATTCATTTATTCATTTACACGTCCGTATCTGGAAATTGAAAGATTATGGTGGCCCAAGGTTTACGATACCCTGTATATACATTCTATTTAGATATTTGGAAAGGCCAATATAAGAGAACAATTGGAGGCTTACTTCACAGCAAATAACTTGTTATCGCCCTCACAACATGGTTTCACTAAGAAAAAAAGCACTGATACGGCACTGTGTGAAAATCAAAATCGAATAATAAGTGCTCTAGAAAAAAAAGAAATGTGTTTTAGGATTATTTATTGACTTCTCACGGGCTTTCGACTGTGTTAACCATGATCTTCTGCTCGACAAACTCTCAAGATACGGTGTAAGAGGAATACCTCTATCTTTACTAAACTCATACTTGAATAAGAGAAGACAAGTATTCAAAGTTGGAAAAAGTCTAAGTACTGTAAGAAATGTTGAGGATGGAGTACCACAGGGATCCATTCTGGGACCATTCTTGTATTTAGCTTTTGCCAATGACTTGTTAGGGTACCTAAATAAGAACTCGGCCATTCACTGTACTTGTTATGCTGAGGATACCAATATATTAATTATTGAAAACGATATGGAATCCGCTGTTGCTGTAGCTCTTGAGACCTACGAAAAAGTTATTATGTGGTCGAGAAAAAACAATTTAATGCTGAATGAAGCTTAAACTAACGTGTTGAATTTCAAGATGAATACTGGACAACAATATACGTTGAACCAGTTTGTTGATACTGCTTTGGAACTGAAGCTAACTAACTCAACAAAAATGCTGGGTGTTGTTTCTGATGACAAACTTCAATGGAGGACTCATATTGACAACTTATGTAATACACTTAGAAAATCATGTTATTCTCTTAGGTTTCTTTCCAACCATTGTGGCCAAAGTACTCTATTGACCGTCTACTATGCAAACTTCAATTCGCATCTTAAATATGGCATTCTGAACTGGGGCACATCCTCTACCGTATCTCAGGTGTTTTGTATACAAAAATATGCTATTCGGATCATTGCCAAGTTGGGCTATAGAGGTTCATGTAGACAGTTTTCAGAATTTGAAAATTTTAACGCTAGCAGGAGTATACATAATGGAAGCTTGCACATATATCTACCGGAATAGAAATACATTAGCTGCGGATAGAGCCTATAATAAACATTCAACCCGAAATGCCCACTTGTTATTACCAAGTCAACATCGCACAGCTCTTTACCAAAGAAGTTTTGAGTTTCAGGGCTGCAAACTTTTCAATAAACTACCCGATAACATAAGAAATTCTGGAAATTTACGTATCTTTAAATCAAAACTGAAACAACTTCTTCTGTCAAAGAACTGCTACAGTATAGATGAATTTTATCTGTAATCCTGTACCATATGTTTATATAGAAGGGAATCACTTACAATACTTGCATTATATCATTGTAGAGGAGTTTCTCTCGTGATTTGCCATTTGTACTTTTATTTATACATATTTGTCAATTTTATTCATGACGTGTATGTGTTGTTTCTATACCTATATCCAGGTTCATTTATTTATATTTGTCTTTTTATCTATATATCTTTTATTCTATATGTTATATGTATAACAATGTTTCGTACTTTTTGACGTTTTACTCTTTTTTATTTGTATTACCACGCTGTTTGTGTGCGAAGTAATTTGAGAAAATAAAGAAATTATTATTATTATCATTATTATTAGTATATTGTAGCCTCAAGCTCTGAGTGGGATTCACCCTGAGAGGAGGATACTATTGCTTTAATTCGGATCTAAGAGTGACCATGCACCTGTTCTCGAATCGAAAGACTCCTTCTCATTTGTAGAGTATAGCATTCCAGCATGGTTTAGCGTTTAGCGTGCACCGTGAGCTTTAGCGAGTTAGCTAGATTTATACAGGGCTATAAAAATTATTCATTCATTTATTTACACGTCCGTATTTGGAAATTAAAAGATTATGGTGGCCCAAGGTATACGATACCCTGTATATACATTCTATTTAGATATTTGTTGAGGCTACAAAAGGTGGCAAAATTTTTAAAAAGGCTTCGTAAAATAATAGGCAAATAAAAATTTCGAAATTTCCGATTGTTCCTGTATAACTTCAGAATTCGAGAAGCTAGATCAGATTATTTATCCATATACTAGACCTCAGAAATACGCAACTTTGCCCCAATTTGCCCATTCCTCTATGTTCAGGATAATTCAACGCTTTTATGAATTTGCCTTGGAATTTTAGTATTTGTCGAAAAATCGGATTGAACCTCACTCACCTGCCTACACTCGTATCTCTGCATCTATTTACTAGCGCCAGTTTTCTGTTTGCTGAGATTGTTGAGAAACTGCTAATACACTTATATGGACCACGAATATGTTTCTATCATTACTATTATTGATTAATAATCGACACCTTGATGACCGTCTTCACGTAAACTCTTGATCACCGCCATCGCCATCGATTCGCGAGGAATCCAACTTTCCAGGCACAAAGATGGCCATAGTATCCGAGTTTTGTAAATAAGTTTTGTCAATTAGTTTTGTGAATAAGCAGGTTTAATAAATGTATTGGTGAAAATAAAGATAGAGTTTAATATTGATCGTCTCATTTCATTCACCATAGGTGTAACTGATAATCTAGAGAATTAGTTGAATAAAAATTATGTAGCTTTGACAGTTGGAAGGAAATTGCCCGGTTCAAATGGATATACATACCATTATAAAATAGGTCGCGTACGAGTTTATTAGTTAATGAAATTAGCATTCTTAAGTCAACGTGAGTTTGTGTCTGTCAAGTAGATGGAAATGGAAATACCTAACGTTGTTTTGTTTTGTTCATGTAAAATGTTATATTTTATAAACAATTGTCCTAGTGCTTCAATAGGTAAGCGTTTTTAGCAGTTTTTTTGATCCCGCTAGGGTCGGCTTAGAGTTGTATTTTTTCTCAACTATTCTAATACTCACTGTTTGTACATATTCATTCGAAGTGAATCGTCCATTCAATTCAGAGCATGTTAATTTGAATACTCTGTTGAGATAGTAAGCTGGTTTTCGATTGGTATAGACAATCTGTCGAAGAACTTGTTGATAATTGAAAACCATGTCTGAACCAGTGATGGTTACCCCATCCTTGGATACTCTAGCAGCCATTCCTGCAATAATATTCAGGGGTAATAACACGAGTGCTCACAATACTATTGATAGCAATTTTGTCAGAAATCAACGAAATCCAATTGCATGGTTACCTCGGAGCAATTTGATCGAGTTCAAGGTTTCTGACAGAATATTCGATAGTATTGTGAGCACGAATTGTATTTGATTGAGACAATTCCATGACCTTCATTGAACTGTCATCTCTATGTCATACCAGGTGACCAGATGTTTTTTATTATTCAATGGTTGCCGTGACGACGTGGTCTTATCATAAGGAAAGAGGAAGGAGCATCGTACTATCGAATCACACCTTCCGATTGGTTCTTATATTACAGGAGATGACAATTCCATATACGTCGTCGAATTGTCATATTGAATTTTCCAAACAAAGATAATGAATCATAGAATTTCTAATTTTCACATGTAATGAAGCACTTCAGAAGAACGACAGTTTTGAAACATCTTACTTTACATAACCAGTTGCGTAAGGTCTATTCAATAGAAAACAACTACTTTCCTGGCTATATGCCACGACGAACATTGAATTCCATCTATTGAACATACACGATAAGAATTTGAAAACAAAATCTTCTGAAGTAGAGAATTTGCATTCTCCTTCATATAAAGATATGTACATATGTAATATAATTCTGAAAATTCAACAGAGAACAACTACTTTCCTGGCTATTTGTCACGTCGAACATTGAATTGTATATGTACATATTTTTATATGAAGGAGAATGCAAATTCTCTACTTCAGAAGATTTTGTTTTCAAATTCTTATCATGTATGTTCAATAGATGTAATTCAATGTTCGTCGTGGCACATTGCCAGGAAAGTAGTTGTTTTCTATTGAATAGACCGAGAAAGAATTTATTTTTTCATCACATAGAGAATGCGAATTCTCAATATATTTCTTCATAAATATATCCATTTTTTCATGTTCATAATTACATCTGAGAATATTTATTTTCAATACTTTCATCCAATCAAGGAGTCCAAACTTGAACGATGGAAACTTGTTATTTTTATAGACCTCAATCGCAGATTCGTGATTAGGTTTTCTCAATTCAGAATTGCTTTCCACGTCCTGTATGATGAATGTCAATTCATCATACATATCTAAAAATAACAGCTTACTTTGAAAATCTGACTACGCCACTGGATTCCACGTGACCAACTGTATAAGTGACAGTTTGTACTTTTCCTATGAGTTAAAAGATAGCTGAGATACAGGAGGGGTCCCAAAATGCAACATTTTCGATTTCGCCCTCTATCTCAAAAACGAAGTGGGCTATGAAAATTCTGTTCGCGGTATCGTGAGTTTTACAAAATAGAAGCCAACGTTCGCGAAAACCGCAAATTTCTATTTCTGAAAATAAGTGACATATCCCGTGAGTACATCGAGAATTGGACAGTCTGTACAGCATGTCTTACTTTAAACGACCCTCCCTCTCCCTTCTATATTTCAGCTATTATAGCTGTGCGATCTTTACCAAATTTTGACCGGTATGAATAACCATCAATATGGTCAGTTTTTCCACACATTCTGTTGGACAGGGCCGTGCTCGCTATCAAATTGATCACTCTTTATGTACAGGGTGTCCAGAAATTTCATAGAAAGATGTCAACCATAGATAGAACAAAAAAAGGTAAAAGAAGTTCAAAGAAACATGGATCCATAAATGACCCACTGGGGGTTATAATCATCCAAAGGGGAGTCCGAGATGATGATTTTATGTGAATATGTTCGAAACCCTCTGAATGTTTCACGAATTTTGAGCATGAAATCTTAGTGAATCGATGATGGGTAACAAGGACTTACCTCCAATCTGCCTAAACTTACCTACCCCGCTACCACTTACTATATAATAATTTTCGGTGTTGAGACACGCAAATGTTGTTGATTCGAGAAATAGAATTCTTGAATCTTGAACTACGCTATATTTGTCTCAATTAAATGTCAGTAGATAGTAAATCAATTATGGGACATATTGATCAATAATGAATAGTTTCGACACAAAAAAAAACCTTAAAGTTGAAAAATCTCGATATTGAACAACCTATATATCTGTTATCATTCCCGCTAGACCCCAAGTGTTATGCATTGATGAACTCAGCTCTTCAGGGAGAACCTAAAGTGAGGGTTGCTTAGCTGTGTGCACGCGTATACAGGGCTTTTCACGATGAGCGTTAATTAGACGTTTCTGGCAAACCAGACAACGGATCAACCTGAAAATTTGATAGTATGCATAAATGAACATGATCTACACGCCTAAAATATTTTAGACGATGCGGCGTTGCCGCTTCTACTGTAAAGTAGCGGTTACTTTGATTTTTCAAATGGAACACCCTGTATATAATATCATTTTATGATTTCTTATCACTTCGTCAACAACTTCATATAGTATGTCCCTATACCTATCTCTTACCGTTTAAGAGATATAAATTAATTTTGATTTTTTTTTTCACCAAACGTACTTTTATAAACGCTGATAATCTTGAACTCTCTGGTACTAAGACGATCAAATTCGGAATGGAGTGAAGTGATACCATAAGGATCCTCACTTCGGAGCCATATTTTTTTTGCCTCATACAGGGTCGTTAGAAAATGCGGATACTTTGTTCACATGAAAAAATGAGTGGAAGTCAATTTTTTCAAATGGAACACCCTGTATTTTTCCACATTTTTGAGCTCTACATCCAATTTTAGATTGACTTTGTTCAGATAATCCTATTTCGATTTCGAACCGTTTTCGAGATAAACTGTTTCAAACAGAAACTGACGTGGTTCCCTTGAATTCATCAATTATTTTTGAAATTTAACAGAATCCATTCGATGTTCCTTCATCAGTCACAGATAATGCCATGAATAAATAATTATTAAAATACTCTTCAACCATCAAATGAAACTTCTCTTCAAAAAATAGTTTTATTAACGCTGACACACAAACTGAAAATAAATTCATGAATTAGTAAGTCAATTCAATTATCACTGTATTTCAGAATATGTTCGAACACATCTCCTCCTCTACTTAAACAAACATGTAATCTCTTCAGAAGATTTTCATGTGTAGCGCTTCTGATTGATTCTGAAGTTAAACTATTGAAAGCAGTTCTAATTCTCGATTTCATATCTTCCATTGTTGTTATTGGGTCGGAGTAAACCATATTTTTAATGAAACCCCATACAAAATAATCTAGTGGATTGCCATCTGGTGTTCTAGGAGGCCAACGAAAAGGTCCATTATTACCAATCCATCTATCTTCGAAGATTTCAGTTAAAGCTTCACTTACTGAACGAGAATTATGGGGTGGAGCACCATCCATTTGGTACCATACACGTTCTCTTCCTGGCCTATGATTTAAAATCATTTGAATTCCATTCCTCAGTAAATCTTCATATTTTGTAGCATTCAAGTTATCATCATAAAACTCGATATAAAAAATTGACTCATTCTTTATGGCACAAAATACATTAAATTGTCATCTTTCTTGAAAACCCCTTTGGCGAACGACATGGGGATTTTCTGGCGACCAATAATGACTGTTGTGTCTATTGAAAATTCCATTTTTTGTAAACTTGGCCTCATCTGTCCATATGATATTGTCTAGGAAATGTTCATCCTCTTGAGTCTTGACAAGTAACCATTCAAAGAATTCCACTCTACGAGGCAAATCTGTCTCTTTCAGATGTTGGACACAGTAAAATTTATAGGGATGCCATTTGTGCTTATTAAGAATGCGATAAATTGTCACGTAGGGTATACCAATCTCCCTTTCAGCTTCGTGTAGAGAAGCATTTGGAAATGCATAAAAAAATCCCAAAACTGTTATGTTATTGTCATCATCATCCACTTCAGGCTTTCTACGAATAACTTTTGGATGAAAGGTTCCATTCAACCTACAGTTTTTTAGAAGTCGGTTTATCACATTATTATTCGGCTTCGGAAGTTGTGGATATCTTTCATGAAATACTCGGCATGTTCTACTTGCAATTCTATTGCACTCACCATAAAGTATTAATAAATTCAAGAAATCTTCATTACTGTAACCTAATCTTGACATTTTTTGGTTATAATTGGTATCACAATCAGTCAAAACCACCAACGAACGTTTGACGTTTCAAAATTGGATCATTTATATTTCCAAAGCACACTATGAAAAAATACTAATTTGCAATGTTGTACGGTAGACACTCAATACCTCAATGCATACAAATTGTAACTTTTTCTAAGGAACATATCACTTTAGAATTGACTGATTGGTGACTGTTGAAAAACTAAATCTAAAAGAAATATTACATAGTATAAAATAGATGTTAAATCTCGAAAATAAGTGATGAATGCAAGGAAACAACGTCAGTTTCTGTTTGAAACAGTTTATCTCGAAAACGGTTCGAAATCGAAATAGGATTATCTGAACAAAGTCAATCTAAAATTGGATGTAGAGCTCAAAAATGTGGAAAAATACAGGGTTTTTCATGTGAACAAAGTATCCGCATTTTCTAAAGACCCTGTATGAGGCAAAAAAAATATGGCTCCGAAGTGAGGATCCTTATGGTATCACTTCACTCCATTCCGAATTTGATCGTCTTAGTACCAGAGAGTTCAAGATTATCAGCGTTTATAAAAGTACATGTTTGGTGAAAAAAAAATCAAAATTAATTTATATCTCTTAAACGGTAAGAGATAGGTATAGGGACATACTATATGAAGTTGTTGACGAAGTGATAAGAAATCATAAAATGATATTATATACAGGGTGTTCCATTTGAAAAATCAAAGTAACCGCTACTTTACAGTAGAAGCGGCAACGCCGCATCGTCTAAAATATGTTAGGCGTGTAGATCATGTTCATTTATGCATACTGTCAAATTTTCAGGTTGGTCCGTTGTCTGGTTTGCCAGAAACGTCTAATTAACGCTCATCGTGAAAAGCCCTGTATACGAATAATTGTACAAGTCTTGTATTTCGTGCACAATAGTTTATTCAAAATA